GGATGCGCATCATCACCCAGATCTATCGCGGCCAGGATCCTTCTCGGCTCTTGGTGGCTATTTTCTTGACGAGGACCCCGTCGATTTCGATCCATCGTTCTTCAACATGACACCAATTGAAGCCCAGTGGCTAGATCCCCAACAGCGCAAAGTGCTCGAAGTGTGTTACGAAGTTCTTGAAAATGCCGGCGTGCCGCTTGACAAGGCAGCTGGTTCGAACACTGGTGTATATGTCGCCACCTTCACCAGCGACTACCAGCAAATGTCCATTTTTGAAAGAGACTTCAGACACAATTACGCCGCGACAGGGGTTGACCCTGGTATTATCAGCAATCGTGTTAACAATGTCTTCAACTTGGCAGGTCCAAGTTGCGTTATCAACACAGCATGTTCGTCATCTGTTTATGCTATTCATAACGCCTGCCAGGCGCTCCGTGCTCGCGATTGCGACGCTGCCATTGCCGCGGGAAGCAACATTATTATGATAGTCGTGAGTACCGTGGCTCAGAAGTATACTTTCATATACTCACAGCCCATCAAGGATCAACATATGAATACGGCGAAGCTCGGTGTTCTTTCACCAACCTCCGAGTGAGTTGTTACGCGTGCTTCACCGCTGAAGGGACTAATGTCAAGCAGGTGCCACACATTTGATGAGCGAGCCGACGGTTACGGTCGCGCTGAAGGAGTCGGTGCTCTGTATCTGAAGCGCCTTTCGGATGCCATCCGTGATAAGGACGTCATTCGGTCAGTATTTTCAGTTGCTGTAGTGAGAGCTACAATGATATCCTGGCTAACAGTCAACAGAGGAGTCATCCGATCGTCGGCAGTGAATACTAACGGCAAAGTGGAAGGCATGGGCATTACCTACCCCAACGCTTTTGGTCAGGAAAAGGTACTACGCCACGCTTATAAGCGCGCCAACTTGAATCCTAACAAGACAGCATATTTGGAATGCCACGGAACTGGCACACCAACCGGAGATCCCATTGAAGTCCGAGCTGTATCACTGGGAATGAACGATACAAGAAGCCTGGAGAAGCCACTGCTGCTTGGTGCTGCGAAAGCTAGCATTGGACATAGCGAAGCGGTACGTTCCTTGCCTTCCTTCTAGTGAACTGATCTAGGATGAATAATGACACTCGGGTATAGGCTTCCGGAATCTTCGCGGCCATGAAAGCTGCGTTGATGACTGAGAAGGCTCAGATTCCTGGTGTCTACGGTTTTCGGAACCTGAATCCAAACATCAAAGCCAAAGATTGGAACGTCAAAGTCGTAAGAGATCTCATGTCTTGGCCATCTGAGTTTGAGGTTCGTCGGGCAAGCGTCTCCTCATTTGGATATGGTGGCACAAACGCACATCTCGTCATTGAATCCATTGACAGTATCTGTCCATGGTACGAACACGGCAAGCCAAAATCAGAAGCTACATATGACTATCCCGGTGCAGATCGCCCGTTTTTGATCACCATGAGCGCACACGACGAGACCACGTTGAGACGGAATATCACGGCACATGCAGCGATTGCTTCCGACTATCACCTTGTCGATTTGGCTTATACTCTCAATCAGCATCGCTCTCGGTTTAACTTTCGCGGATTTACTGTTATTGAGCCTGGGAAAGTAACAAAAAACTTCAATGTCGACAAGTTCTCCTACGGAAGGAAGCTCGCCAAACCTGCCTCTGTAGGATTCATCTTCACCGGCCAGGGTGCTCAGTGGGCACGCATGGGATACGATGCCATGCAAATGTTTCCTAGCTTTGAAGAGACCATTAAAGCTATTGATTCTATTCTGCAACGCATTGAACCACGGCCGTCTTGGACATTGAGAGACGTGCTGGAAGCACCTGTTGAGACCAGCGCCATCGACTCTGCAGAGATCTCTCAACCCGTGTGCACTGCTATTCAGATCGCTATTGTTGATCTCTTTTCTTCATGGGGAATTGAGGCCAAGGTCTCTGTTGGCCACAGCAGTGGTGAGATCGCGGCTGCCTATGCCTCCGGTCGCGTTTCAGCCCCCGAGGCCATGTTGGCCGCATACTTTCGCGGCTATGCAGTTGCTAATGCAGCTCCCGTTGGCACTATGCTGGCAGTTGGGCTTGGAGCCACTGATGTTGAAGATTACTTGAACTTCCTGCCTCCGGAGATCAGCGACAGGGTTGCAATTGCATGCGAGAACTCTCCTGCAAGCATCACCATGAGCGGAAGCGGAGAGGACATCGCCTCGCTGAAGACGATCCTAGATGAATTTAGCGTCTTCAATCGGGAGTTAAAAACTGGCAAGGCGTACCATTCACGCCAGATGAGTTCTGTTGCGCCACTGTACACTGAGCTCTACTCCAAGGCCTATTGCAGTTTGCGCAGCACTGAGCTCAGTTGGCGTCGCGCCAAATCGGGCATGATTTCTTCTTTGACTGGCTCCAACCTTGTCGAGTCGCAAATTTCTATCGCCTATTGGTGTGATAACTTGCGCAACCGAGTTCTGTTCAGCACGGCCCTGGCTGAGGTCGGCGCACTGCCTGAGTTCTCTGACGTCAACATCTGGGTTGAGATTGGACCTCATCCAGCTCTTAGTGGGCCAACGAAGCAGATTATCCAGGCTAAAGGATACGACATGCACCATGTCTCCTCCCTGAAGCGTGGCACTAATAGTGCTATGTCTCTTGTGAAGACAGTCGGTGAACTTTATCTTCTCGGACTTGACATTGACTTTGGTCTCGTCAACAGCTTCAGGCCGTTGCCTTCGGCGTCTATAAAGAAGGAACGCGATTCGCCGCGCTACCTGCCTGATCTTCCGCATTATCAGTGGAATTATGAGCGCAGATACTGGTACCAGCCCAGGATTATAAAGGAGCTCAGAGAATCTAAGTTTGCCCGCCACGACGTCCTCGGCCGCCGCATCTTTGGACTGTCTCAGAGCTCTTCAACTTGGAGAAACATTCTGCGCCAACGCGATGTGGCATGGTTTGCTGATCATTTGCTAGGCAGTGATGTTATTTTCCCCGCTGCCGGTCACATCTCTCTCGCGATTGAAGCACTCTTGCAACAGCTTGACATGAAGCCTCTTGACGCATCTTCTATTCGACTTCGAGACATCAACATCGGGAAGGCACTCGTCATCCCTGATGATGACGATGGCATTGAGATACACACTCGTCTTGAAAAGCTCGAGAACAGAGATTCCTGGCACAAGTTTACCATTGAGTCGATTGATGGAGAGACGTGGACTCAGCACTCAACAGGAAAGATAAAGCTTGATCCTACAGCTGCAACTGAAGAGGTATCAAAATCACCATACAAGATGCATCAGTTACATCAAAATGTTTCGGGCAAGCGCTGGTACCGTTCTCTCCGCCGTGTCGGGTTCAAGTACGGACCTAACTTCCAAACGATGACCAATGTTCGAGCAAACGGCAAAGATCGCGTTGCTTCGTCTGGAATTCGCGTGCAAACTTCATGTCCATCCATGGAGAGTGAGTCACGCTATTATTTGCACCCTTCGACAATTGATGGCTGTCTGCATGTGGTCATTGCGGCGATTCATCGTGGTCTGCACAAGGAACTGCCATGGGGTGCAATTCCAGTCAAGTTCGACGAGCTGTCCATTCGGTTCCCAACAAACAAAGATACAATCGAAGATGCCCACTGTACCGCGTGGGTCAACCGAGCAGCGGATCGCAACTTTTCTGGTGATCTGCAGCTCTTTGGTGCTTCCGGATACTGCCTTCTCAACATTGTGAACTGGCAGTTCATTGCGTATGAAGCTGCAGTTCCTCCCCAATTGAGCCAAGTTTCTCCCAGAAAGGCGTATCGTCAAGTTGCATGGGAGCTTCTTGAGTCTACCAGTTTCTTCTCTGAAAGTCAGGTGGAGGGTAAACTCCATGCAACAGTGTTCCATTTGAGCCACACGTCGGCTCTCGCTGACTCTCTCGGGGCTACGGCCATTTCTCTACAAGATGTTGACGCAGAGACGCTTGATATCTTGTCTGCGGATAGTATAACGACTTTTGGAGATGCCGAAAATACGCTGGCCAATATCGTTATTGACGATACAAACGGGACTGCACTGACAACTGCGTTGACCAAAAGTTCATGGGATACGATCAAGATTATCCTCCTATCCAACAGGCCCGTTGTTTGGGTTACTCGTGGCGCCAACTCTGGTTTTTCGGCCATTAGCGGCACTCCTCAAGGATTTCTTAGAACCGTACGTTCCGAGGCCGCCACGTCCAAGATTAGCCTCATCGATGCCGATCACGGTGTTTCAACGCAGCAAGTTGCGACCTCGGTACTGCAACAGCTCTCTGTCGTTGCAAACGCCGCTGGAGAAGGTACTACTGATATGGAGCTCTGGTTGAAGGAGGATTCTCAAATCTGGGTCTCTCGTCTTGCCTCCAATAGTCCCATGAATGAGAAGCTTTTTGGCAACGGTCAAACAACGAAAAGTCTGCTGTCCGCAGCAGTATCTTACAAGGCCGTTATTGGGGAAGACGAGGTACATTTCACGCAGCTTGCCACCGAGCCTACCTCTGAGCTAGACCCATCGTACGTGGAAATACAGGTCCTCTTTGCTGATATGAGTGATGATATTCTGTCATCTCGGGCGGACAGCCGACCCAAGATCTTCACTGGGCGCATCATACGTAGTGGCAACGCCCTTGATGCGAGTCTATGTGGCCGCGTCGTGGCGGCTTTTACTCTGGATAAGCTTCAAACGATTGTCGTTACTGACATCTTTGCATTGCTCCCCGATACTCACTCGCCTGACACAACTGCAGCAGTTCTGTCGCAGCTTGTCAAAGCCGTGGACGCGGTAATCGTCAAGGCGAAGGCCGTCAAGAACGATCACGTTGTTGTAATGTCTGACACTCCGTCACTATTTGAGCAGTCCATTGTCAATATCAGCAAGCACGCTGGCTTTAGCGTCACAATACTGTCGAACGAGGCTGCCGTGAACGCCGAACAGTTGCTTCCGAAGGCCAGTGGACGCACCATAGTGGTTGCAGCGAAACCGTCGCTCTTGATTCCGGAGATATGGTACAAAATGCCCAAAGACTCTGAGTTTGTTCTAAGCGGTGTCGCTTTGGATGACCATACTCTTGAAATGCGACCATTCACCCGGGGAGTGAAGCTTCATGTCTCAGACGTTAGCGAGGACTTCAACAGTAACTCAGCCAAGCTGAAGCGCACGCTTGAGATGAGCATCCAATATCTCCCTGCCATGGTTTCATCTAAAGTGGTTACTTTCAGCGCATCTAGCCTTACTGATTTAGGAGAGACCCGGCGAGTCTTGAAGCAGAGTCCAGCCAGCGTGATGGGTTTCAAGTACGAAGAAGACCTTGTCGATGTAAGTATTACGGGGGCATCATTCTCGTTGTTCATACAGTTAACCCTTGTTGTTTAGGTCTCGCAATCTCATCAGTCTGTTGTCTTCAGTGACGAAGGCGCATATCTGTTGGTCGGCTGCCTTGGCGGCCTGGGCCGTAGCTTGACGACATGGATGTTCGACAGAGGCTGCAAAAACTTCGTTTTTCTTTCTCGATCTGGAACAGCCACGTCCGAAGCCGCAGAGCTTGTACGTAATCTCAAGCTCCGGGGGGCGAACGTTGACGTTTTCGCCGTCGACGCAAGTGACAAAAAGGCCGTTGGCGACATCGTCGCGGAAGTGTCTGCTCGTCGTCCTGTCAAGGGTGTTGTACACGCAGCCATGGTTCTACAGGTATAGTAACAGTATCTATCAGAATTTAGCCCGTACTAACTACACCCAAAAGGATGCCTTATACTACCGTATGACTTTTGCTGAGTTCCAGGCAGCCATGCGACCCAAGATGCTCGCTGCTATTGCCCTGGATGAGGCGCTAGCTGACACGGCGCTGGACTTCTTCATCATGACAAGCAGCATTTCGGGTGTCATCGGTAACCAAGGACAAGCGAATTACGCTGCCGCCAACAGCTACATGGACTTTTTGGCGCTGCAAAGGAGGCGCAGAGGACTTGCAGCCTGTTCCTTAGCCTTACCGCTGGTAGAAGATGTTGGTGTCGTCGCTGAGAACACTGAGATTGCTGACGCCCTAGCGCGAAAAATGCCTTTCGGCGTCAGTGAGCGAGAGATGATTCTTGGCTTTGAAGCGTCCATCTATCACGGTACACCTTTCTCAAAGGATGTACACATTGGAGATGTGCAGCTTGTCCTTGGCCTGGAGCCAAACGCCATGCTCGCTGCCATGGAAGATTTGAGTATTTCCCAATCTTTCTGGTACAATGACGCTCGCATGCATCCCATTCGCCAGGAACTGGAAGAGCTGGCTAAGGCAGCCTGCACTGCTGGTGATGCTGGTGCAAATGGCGATTTTATCTCTGCTCTTGCTGGCTTGAGCAGAGACGAAGCCCTGGTAGTAATTGGCACGCATATCATGGAGCGAGCCGCGCGTATTCTTGGAGCAAGGTTTGAAGATTTCAAGTACAAAGACGCCTCGGTCGCAAGTCATGGCATTGACTCCATGATCGGCGTGGAGTTGCAGACTTGGCTGTTCAAGGAGTTTGGCTTGCAGGTCAGTGTGCAAGTGCTCTCCAGCCCGAATACGACTTTCAGAAGTCTAACAGAGTCCATTATGGAGCATGCTGGTATTTGAAGCGAAGTTGTATCTCAGACTATTACATCTACACGTGCTTGGATGCTGGCTCGATCAGAGCAGGCATGGCCTCGGACAGCATGTGGAATACTCGTTGTGTTTAAATATAGCTACTCTGCCAGAAGCCATCATATAACATTGCTTAGCACTCACTATTTTTAGGTTAACCCTATGCAAATATAGGGATAACAAAGTTAACACTTATCAACTATTTCTTGTATATAGGCCTATAACTCTATAAATACTTTAATATCTTATTCTAGTTAGCTTATAATAAAAGAAAGGAATATTAGCTAATAAAGTCCTAAGATACCTAATCCTTAGTATAATTCTAATAGTAATTCTAAATATTAGTATATAAGAAAGATATTTTCTCTTTATACTTAAAAAACCTTATAAAAAAAAGTAAAAACACCTTAATAATAAAAAAGTAATATAATCTTAATAATTTTTTATTAAGCTCCTAACCTTATTTTATAGCTCTAATCCTTTAACTTAATTAATATTTAAGGTTATATTTTTATTATTAATATTATAAAAACTTCTTTTAATTCTAATAATATTTAAAGATAATTATAAAAATAAAAAATAAAGATTAAGAATTTAATAAACTTTAATTATATAATATAAAATATTAATAAATTATAAATAATATTTTTTAATAGTTAATAAATTATAAATAATACTTTTTCTTAATATAAAAATATTAATAAATTATAAATAATATTTTTTAATATTAATTAATTATAAATAATACTTTTTTTAATATAAAAATATTAATAAATTATAAATAATATTTTTCATTTTAAAAAATTATAAGTAATATTTTTTAATATTAATAAATTATAAATAATACTTTTTCTTAGTATAAAAATACTAATAAATTATAAATAATATTTTATATTATATATAATATATAATAAATATATACTAATACTTTTATTTAATATTATAAAATTAAATAATATTATTTTTATATAATTATATTATTCTAATTTTAATATAGATTTTTATATTATTATCTTTTTAGTTATAAAAAAGAAGTAAATAAGTTATAAGATTTATAAAAAGTAAGAAATAAAAAGGTACTAAATTTAAATTAAATTATTTAAGCTATTTTCTGAGTAAAAAAGTCTTTTTTAATATAAACTTATATTATAAAACTTTTATAATTACTAGAAATATATATTAATGTGAAGGTTATTATACTTAAGGGACTCTAGTTAGAATATCCTTAGGGTTACTAATAATAATAGAATTATCCTACCTCCTCCCTACTAGTTTATTAGTAGCTCGC